AAGGGTTTGTAGTTTGATTAAATAATGTCTACATTATCTCCAGCCTTGTTTTCTTACTTTTTTACAATCCCTATTTGCAGATTTTTAAATTCCTAATTTTATATTTATCTTGCAATATCCAGTTTAGAAAGAAACACTGTTAATTATATTATCAAAATTAGTAAAAAATGTTTTATCTTTCCTGTTTTTTTAATAGAAATCATTAGCTGTTAATGTTGTAAAACAGTCAGGTATATTAAATCTGTCAAAATATGTCCTATACATTTAAAACCAATTTATTATCACAACTGATAAAGCAAATTTTCATTTTATTTACATTTAGACAATTTTATGCATAAATTCTAATTAATGAAATCAAGACACCTAAAATATTTACAAAAATACATTAATATTAATACATTAATATTACTGGTCTAAGTTTAAAATAAAAGTGGAATAGAAATTATACTAAAGTTATGTTATTACTATAATTAATACTTGTGCTAAATCTGTTTCTATAATACACAATAAAATTATTGATTTTTTATTTAATAAAATCAAATCATCTTAGAAAGTGAATCAGATCATTATTTCTGCATTATTAAACATAATACACCAGTTTTGGACTAGCTGACTATTTTAAATTCTCTTGAACTAGCCATTTCCATTCTGATTTTACTTCTCTATATATCAAAATAAATTAAAAAAGACTTGTTAAGTTATTAAGTTTAACTGAACAATTTTTAGATTCCAATATAGTTATTTCTAAGTGCAATTTCACTAAAAATCAGTACAGAGTTATACTTAAATTTTCTATTTATAGCAACTATGAACAAGCATTTAAACAAGTGACTGGCATTCCTATGGAAACCTATTTTTCTTTGAATATTGCTAATTTATATCTTTAATTTTATGAAAATGCCAGGCTTGTACCTTTTTGAAACAGTTAACAACATCTAGGTCATATTCTTTTACTGTATGTTATATTGATAATTTAATTTCTATTAATAATCTAATTTTTAATTCCTCTAAAATCTCTCACATAGAAGTTACAATAGAATGAAATATTAATACTAATTATAGTGCACATTATTTAGATACAAATAGTTTTTTTTTCTATGGAGAAAGAGTACAACTGGTCTTTTTTTTTTTATAAAAAACGATAATTTGATTTTTTTTTTATCCTTGGATTACCTTCTCCAAATAGTGTCATTCCCAAGATTCTGTTGAAAGCAAACCATTTTCCAACTAAAAACATGTGTAAATGTTTGTAAAAACAATATTTGTTTATAGATAATGTTAAATTATTAACTGATAAATTAATTTTTAACTAAAGCCATGTTTCAAGCATGTTATAACATTTTACATTCAAGGTCTAATTAAACAACTTTGTTAACTATCTATGTATGTCAATAAACTTGCATGCATGAAAACATAATTTATAATTCAAATTTAAAAAAGAAACATTTTAAGAATAATAATTTTTAGGTCATATGACACATCTGAGCTCCAATTTCTTAACTACAAAATTTTATAACTTCTAAAATAAGCTGCTGCATTTTCAACCAATTAGAAATATTAACTATACATAATTACAAGCAAGAATCTAATATTTGCACCTACTATTTTCTTTATTTGCTGAGATATCAATAAATCAACATCTACAAAGAAAAGCCCCTAATTCTCTCCAACTTTCAAGATTATTTGCTAATTAACTTTCTATGGCTAATGGACATGCTTATAACCAACAGAAAGAGCAAATTCTCCTCTACATGAAACTGATTTTCCCTCCTAGATTATCCAGTTGTTAGATGTTTCTCATTCCATCATACTCAATGTGTTACTTTGAATGGCTAATGGAATTTGTTTTAACCTATTTAAAGATTATCTTGAAAGCCAAATAAATCAGTAGTTTTGGGACATTCTAAAGCTACACAAATTATTTTGGACACAAAAACTTGTAAGGCACAGAGAAAAACAGTTTTTGATTTCCATGAGTGTAAACCAGTTTAATAGTGTAGTGAGTGTACAACATACTTTTATTGTTTACTAAAAGCTTGTCAAATTTCATGCAGATATACACAGTAAATTTAGAGTTATAGGGTTGGTCAATCTGACCAAACAAGTCTGAAATAGTTTATGGTTGTAAAACCTGGAAAACTATTAACATTTTAAAACTCTTTTGTTATGAATATTACAATATCATCTATTGTCAATAAACAATGGATAAATTACAGATATCTAGAAAGCCAAATAAATTAGTAGTTTTGGGACATTCTAAAGCTACATAAATTATTTCGGACACACAAACTTAAGTTAGCCAAACATCATTTTAGTGAAACAAAATATCCAAAATTTCATGAGGTCGAGGTAATGCTATATGTATGTTGTGTTTCACTTACTGTTAATGTTGCATGCTGCCAGAAACAGCTTTTAGCTTCAGAGTGTATAAAGTATTGCTCTGAAACCATAAAATGAAAATATTTGTGAAAAGGTTAAAAAACAGGTTATTATCTGTGATCTTAGGTGCGTTATTTCAATAAATACAAATTCCTCATTACAATATAGATATTACTCAAGCAAAGTCTAATTTTTATAGCCTTCAATCTTATTTGTTTCTGGAGCTATAAACTAGAAAATCAGACCCACTTGCCATGCCCACCTGTCACACTCTCTCTCTCACAAATTGCCAGTAGTTCTCTCTGAAGTTTTATATTATATCATTTATAACCAATAGAAAGGCAAAGATTTAATCTCTCAAATGATGTATTATATTATGTTGTTTTCAGTACAGTGTTGTCTATTTTGTCTTCAGTTTGAAAGTTTTCTTTCACAGTATTCAGATTGAGAAGCTTTAGGAATTATTTTAAGGCTCTTATACCATAGTTAGAAAGCCAAATAAATTATTATAGTTATAGAACATTGTTTGCTTTGTGCCTGTTATTATTCTGTGATCTTAGGTGCATTATTTCAACAAATACAAATTATTTAGTATACTAATACCAGTAGTTAAATAAAAAAGGTGGCTTAAATTTCATCAGCAACCAACAGCAAAAAACAAGAGTCAAAGGTAAGTACTATATTTTTTTGTTTTTCATTGATATTATTTAGCTATTATTATAAAAGTAACTAAAATGTAAAAATTAGAAACTTATTAGGTTAGATTAGGTAAAATGATGATAATAAAAATTATTCATGAGGTACACTCATGAGCAATTCGTGTGTTACATAATTCAATACAGTAATGTGAGCTACATCTTTACCGAGTGATTTACAACTTGTGTGGTGGGATTATTAGTTAGATATGGTTAAAAGAGCAATATAACAATAAAATTAAGTATAAAGATATGTAGGCTGTTATGAGCTTTAAACTATTTAGGATAAACAATTATAGTCTCCTGTTACAATTTGCAATCATTCTAGAAAGAAGAAAAATGATCATTTAGTTTTATTTTTGATATTTTTATGGTGGTTACAAAGTCGATCAAATTGACTTGTACTTATGGTAAATTACATAAGTACATATGCATGGGTGTCTGCAGAAATTTTCCCAGGGAAGGGCAAAGTAGTGTGAAATTGTGAATTTAATAAAAAATTCATATATGTATATGCTGAATGAATAAAGAAAGAATTATGTTTCTCATTTTCCAGGGGGGTGCTGTTATTCAATAAGACAGTTAAAAGGAGCTTCACATATCAATTTTGGTTTAGCATAAGCATCAAGGCAAGGAAATCTCATATTGAGGTTACTGATACTAGCATAAATGGCCCTAGCTCCCACCCCCTCAAACATTTTAATCACTTGATTTGAACAAATGCCAGCCAATTCTTATCCCTGGCATCAAAACATAAAAACTTTTCCTTGCCCATAGCTTTACTCTCTTCTGCTATTGTCTGTCTGCTGTTTCCACTCGTCTCACACTATTTATATCTTTATCATTTAATCGTCTGCCTGCCTTCTAGAAATCTCTATATTCTCGACATCAGTGTATTGCACACAACATTTGATAGTCTCAACATCAATGAATTATAAACATAACTTCCTACAGTCATCTGCTTTTAACTCTTATTATAACAAAAACTAAACAATAATAAAATATTCACTCACAAAATAAATTAATCAATTATATCTAAACTAAACAGTCTTTAATATCATGACACACAACCTTTCGCTAATAGGGCCAATGCTCTATTCAACTAAGCTAACCAACAGTATAAGCCATCCTCATCTCCCTTGAAGTTTCACACTCATAGTTAAAACATCTTATGAGATGGAGAGAGTTTATACTCCTGAATAGCTCAGTTTCAGAGTTTCTTTTCACATATTGGGTTTTACACTTTGAGTTACTGCAAGCAATATCATAAACATTTGATTTATCTTATTACCTTATTATACGAAGTTAGAGCTAACCTAAATCTCCAAAGCTACCGAAACCTTATGAGATATTATTAGGTTTAGATCCAAAAATATCATTAACAGTAAGGGTATCCAACTTATGAAACAGTGCATTCTAATCTTCATAAGTAAAGTGCAAGAAGAGTATATTTAATTAGCTATACATGTTCCCATGTTGATTTTTAGTTTTTCTCCAAGTAGATAGTCTATTCTAATCAGAAGTGAATATTAATATTAGTTATTCATCCCAGTTTTTTAAATTTCAGAGCTGCTTTATGAGGTGTTAATCTCCATTTTCATATATGTAGACAGTATACAGATTGCATAAAATTCCAGATTGTGTAAAATCTACTTTAAAAAAGGCAAAATTCTGTGCAAATGTGTAGTCTGCATCAGCATAATTTACATCATTATTCATAACATGCAACTATTACTATCAACATGACTTACATCCTTGTACATAATGCACCTCATATAATAGCATAACTTGTATCCTTACATATAAAAAAGATCAACATCAAACAACATAACTTAAATCATTGCACGTAAACATCTAATGCCAAGAACACAACATACTTCCTTGTTTATAACATAAAGCTAATGGCATAAGTATTTGTTCACTTACATCATGCACGTACGATACATCTACTGCTGGAATTCCAGCACGGGTCACAAAAGGTGAATAACCTCCTTTAGTATCAAAGTTCTTTACTCTGTGAAAAAATTCAATAAAATAGTACAGTTTGAATGATCCCACAGATATTAAACATTATTAAAAAAATGATAAAAAAATTTCAACTGAAATTTATAGTGGCAGTCAAAAGTCTGAAATTCCAATGATGATATGTTCATGAAATTTGCATCTTTCAGATCAAGTCATTATAATAGAAAGGATATTGTTATATGGAATAATACACACTGGTTAAAACAAACACACTATACAATACTTTCATGTTCTGAATAGAAAGGATAATTGGTTATATGGGATACATACACACTGGTTGAAAACAAACACACTATACAACACTTTCAAGTTCTGAATAGAAAGGATAATTGGTTATATGGGATACATACACACTGGTTGAAAACAAACACACTATACAACACTTTCAAGTTCTGAATAGAAAGGATAATTGGTTATATTGGATACATACACACTAGTTGAAAACAAACACACTATAGAATACTTTCAAGTTCTGAATAGAAAGGATAATTGGTTTTATGGAATCATACACACTGGTTAAAAAC